ATAAAATACTGATTGGCCTATGATTTTCAACTAGGTAAGGGTCTCCTTTTTTGAATAGTGGCCTTACAATTGCGATTTTCAACCTAGAAGGAAAACTACATCTTCTGAATGATTAATTCAAAATATGAATGATTCCTACTAAATAGATCTGCTTCGATTCTCAGATTTGATATCTTCGAGATGATGAAACATGAAATGTTTTCTCGCAAAAATCTAAATCTCTATTTGCGCAATCAACTGCTGATGAACAAAACAAAAGACGTATAAGAGTTGTTTATACGAGTGGATGAAGAATGTTAATGGAACTAGAAGCGAAACGCTTCGTTGATCAATGCACCATAATAATAACGAACTGTCTCCTACCAGATTATGAAACGCAATAAATACGAGTTGATAATTAATTACTACGGTATTGAGTGGATTAAACCATACTCTTCTGGTTGTAGCATAGCATTGGCAATAAATACCTTCTCATGATTTTCAATGAATGATTGTGAAATCGCATCTACACACACTGGCACAATTAGGGGAACGGGCAAAATTTACACTAAGTTTGACATCAATTTTCTTTCGAACCGATCGCTCGATTCAAATTTTTTTCTTCACGAAATGTAGCTTCATTCTTCAAGAATACATCTGAGAAATAATTACCTTCAAACGATGAGTCTTTCCATCATATACAGGGGTGTAAAGAAAGTACGGATTTTTTGGTATTTTTTAGACATCCTGTGGACTGAACCACTGATAATTGAAACGATTTCTCAACACCAAATTGGAGACCAATCTATTCAGAATATTTTCGTTTTTTATTCATCTTGATATCTCAATTATTCAAGAAAATACAGAGTTTCAAAGATAAGGTGGATATTGGTATCAATTTTACACCTCAAAACTCAAATTGGATCTGAAAATGTGTCGTTTCTTGTCTAACCTAACCTAACCATGACTAAACCTCTGCCATAGGAGACAGAAGCAGTAAAATCAACTCGTTCATTTTGTTCACCTAGGCGAAATAGTCTTTCCCTGCCATCTATTGAATTGGTGCAGATGCGGCTCTCATATGTTAAAAGAACATTGGCCCACTGGTCATTTTCAATTAATGCTACAGCCCTCGCCACATCAGTAGGAGTCAAATCGCTCACGTTGAATTTTCATCAATCAAATTTATGAATTGTGAATCGCTTGACTTTGACAATAATTAATGACATTAACAAAAGAGCCAACGTTGATTAACAAAAATAGCAATTCACCAAAAGAACATTGGAGCATCTTTTATCACCCCTGCATATTCATGAGAGTATTCGTATATGTGTCTTTAAACAGTAAACCGATAGGTAAAACTGTGAAAAATTCTCATCTTGAAGTAAAAATCCTCACAGAAACAAGTTGAAAAACGAAACGTTCTTCCCAGTTCGAGTTTCGAGGTGGTAAAATTAATACCAATATCCACCTCTTCTTTGAAACTCTATATTTTCTTGGATAATTGGGATATCAAGATGAATAAAAAACGAAAATATTGGGGATAGATTGGGCTATAATTTGGTGTTGGAAAATCGTTTCAATTATCAGTGGTTCACTCCACAGGATGTCTTAAAGAATACCGAAAAATCCGTACTTTCTTTACACCCCTGTATATGATATAAAGACGAATCGTTTGGAGGTGGTTATTTCTCAGATGTATTCGTGAAGAATGAAGCTACCTTTCGTGAAAAACAAATTTGAATCGAGTGATCGGTTCGAGAGAAAATTCATGTCAAACCTAGTGTAAATTTCACCCGTTCCCCTAATTGTGCCAGTTTGTGTATTTTGTTTTGAGAAATGCATCAGTAGGTACCTCTGTGTACATACATATTTCACACTCACTGAGAGTCTGATTGACATTCTTCAGAATAAATTTTGAACAGCCCCTGGCGGGTCAATGTTTTCATCGTCGAGTACTGTGAATTGACAGCTGATTTGCAACGGTGTTGATTTTGGATGAATATACAGGGTGTTTCATAATGAACAGGACTTCAGGATGTGATAGCTTGTTCAAAAATATGAAAACATGTTTCCATTAGCTTACCCTCTAAAATGGACCATTTTTGAGATACAGGGTGTTGAAAATTCGAAAAAATCGTTCCTTGCTAATATCTCTGGAACCGATTATCATACAAAAAACAGCTTTTGTAAGCATTTTCTACTAATAATATAATATAGGCTATGTTTTGTGCGGGATTTTTTTTTAATAATAATTTTTGAAGATTTTGAAGGAAGGTAGGTGTTTTTCCCCAACCTCTACGCCACTGGAAAAAGTACAGTTTTGAGCCGCCCATTTGAACCACCAACGTTTTCTACACAAAACAGGTACACCTGTCTGGTCATGTATACCGTTTTCTAGAAAAATGTTGAAAAACAGTCATTTTTTTCATTATTCCAAATTTTATGAATATTATTTCAATATACGTGTAGTAAGGACAAATCAGATGATTTGCCCCAAAATGTCACTGCGTTTAAAGAATTTTCCTATCAGAGAGCCTAAAAGAAAAATTCACTAGCTTGTCAGTGACAATTTGTATTGAAATAAATTTGGAGAAGAGAAATAAAGGTATATAGAAAAAATATCTAATTTTCACTTATCTTTGGACGTTTCGGTACCGATTCTGCTCCCGTTTTCAACATGAAAGGAGATTATTTCAATAGCGAAGTCGTATAATATGTCTTGAAGCTTTTCATTTTTCAATGACAATTGGTGACGTTGGCAATCAAATGAGTTACAGGATGTTTTCATTGATTAATCTTGAATTTACCATTTTCATGTTCAGATTTTAGTAGTGTAATACCATGTTCTGTCATTGAAAACTGAAAAGCTTCAAGACATATTATACGACTTCGCTATTGAAATAATCTCTTTTCATGTTGAAAACGGGAGCAGAATCGGTCCCGAAACGTCCAAAGATAAGTGAAAATTTGGTATTTTTTCTATATACCTTTATTTCTCTTCTTCAAAATTTTTTCAATACAAATTGTCACTGACAAGCTGTGAATTTTTCTTTTAGGCTCTCTGATAGGAAAATTCTTCAAACGCAGTGACATTTTGGGGCAAATCATCTGATTTGTCCTTACTACACGTATATTGAAATAATATTCATATTTTTAATTTATAGAAACGAGGAGAGAAAATCACAAAAAATTTGGAATAATGATTAACCTACAGACAGTATTTAGTCATTTTTTTTGCATCATTTTTTTTTCACTTATTGAATAACTTTCATTTAAATGTTAGAACAAGTAAAAAAACCGAACGTCTATAACTTCATAATAATTGCAGAATTAAAAAAACAATAACAAATCGTACTCAGTTAAATTCATTGTTGAAAAAATTCTCGATTGGCTTCAACGTACAGTCGTATTCAATAAAAAAGCGTATAAGTATTAAAAAGAGAGGATTTCGGGATCCTATAGTTCTAGTTGTGTAAAACTGGCTCAGCCAATGCTTTGTGTTTTCGAGAAGCTATGACAACTTTACTATCAACATTTGGTGAACAATCATTCCCGATAGCTTGTTTCATGCAGGACAGGATGTCGTTTATTTCTCTCTGTAATATACATGTTCGCTTTTTTTTTGAATGCGACTGTACGCAGCAATTCTTCAAAAAAATTACCACATGTTATTCAACATAAGAGTTCTTTTTTCTCGAAACCGGTCAATTTTAGAGCTTATGAACAAGTGTGAAAAACATTGCTGGTTCCAATGGGTGGCTCCAAACTGCACTTTTTCCAGTGGCGTAGAAGTTGGGCAGAAAAACACACGATACCCCTTCAAAAACCTTCGCCAATTAGGACTTGAAGAAAAAATCATAGCTTATTATGAGTAGGAAATGCGTTCAAAAACTGTTTTCTATAGATAAAAGGTTCCAGAGATATTCGCAAAGAAAGATATTTTTTGTAATCCCGACACCTTGTATCTCGAAAGGGGTAAGTTGATTGAAACTTTTTTCCATATTTTTGGACAAGCTATATCACATCCTGAAGTCCTGCGCATATATTATGAAACACCCTGTATACATATACTTAATCGTTATTGACCCATATAATCTTTGTACATGGTGGGTCCAATTGGGCACTTTTGAAGGGAAAGTCCTACTCGAAGGTGAAAACCGCATATATCGATATGTATCTTTATTTCAGAAAGGACCAAATGTTTGGGACTTAAATATTGTTTTATTTCTATTCCAGCCTTTCAAGTAAACCAGAGGTTGTAAATCTCTGTCTTTTTATGCTGAAGCAATTGTACAAGAATTGTTCCCTTTTTATATTTTATTAACAAATGAACTGTCCTTTTTATTTACATTCCACCATAACAACATCAACCATATAGTGAGTGTACAAATCAAAATATTATTAAAACAATCTTCATCAACATTCTTAACAAGGTGTTTTTCGAAAAAACTCTTTTGTTTGTCAAAAATACTTCGTTTTCGTGAGAACATTTTCGATTCATTGTGTTTTGTCATGAAAATTGATCCTCAGGCACTGATATCAGTCACCGTGTACCTAGTTGCATAATAAAACTTTTCTTACAAGAAGAACAAGGTATATTCTTGAACTAGATATAGGAAGGTCGATTTCAGTGTTTCGAGAACAATATTCATCACAAACTCAATGCTTTGCAGTTATCTTCTCAAGAACAGACAATTTTTGCCAAACAAAATATCTGTATCTGACAGATATCGATATACAGATTTCACCATTTTTTTCCATCTGGTTCGAGACTAGGACTTTCCCTTTAAAAGTGTCCAATTTGGCCCACCCTGTACATTGCGACAAAGTACCAAAGTCATCAACGTAGTTACTTCCATTATCTCCTACCCTGTGACCTCCCATGAGATGAAAATCAGGTTGAAGGTATAGTAAGAACTATCGATAGGTATACCCATCACGTCCAATCAGTTATTGGTTACAAAGTAAATGGTTAGGCAACAAGCATGCACGTAATAAAGTCTCCAATCAAGTTTTACCTTTCTCATTCTGTCTTTGCTTCCTAGGTGTGTACTCTATATTGTAATCTTGACCTGAAACAACATACAGAATATTACAAAGTGTCTGTCTACAGTTCATTCCCCCCTCACTTATTTTTGGACCAACTGGTTAATCAAGAAACAAATTTGAAGGGCCCAAGTAGGATATAAAATAGTACATTATACATCAAGGGACAGAAATGTAAGATTTTCCAAGCACCGAGGGAAAAATAGCATTTTGTCCTGAGGTGTATATTGTCACGAGTAGAACATACGGTATATCAGTAATTTCGAACCATGAGGGTTTTATAAACATAAAGTAAATCAAATCATCCGTTGACATTGAATTATAAAAACTGACCAAGGAACTCTCATGAGAAACGTGCATTTCTAATAAAATGATGTATATAAATATTGGATGTGAGGGTTCCGAAGTTAGTCTGGTCTGGGGCTACTCTTGACTTGACAAGAGCTCGTCGTAATGGTCGTTATAATGTAAGTTGTTATTAGGTCTTTATATTCATTGTTGTTGATTCATATTTTGTCATTGCTATACCCATAATGTTTCATGCTATAATACATATTGTTATCTTTGAATATAGTCTCGGACTTTCAGTTACCCCTAAACTATTAGTGCCTATTTGAATATTACCTCTCGCAAACTATTAAGCCAAGCTAACCCCTTATAAATCGATATGAATAAACTAACCATCTTTTTTATCGTAACATGGTGGAAACACAACTCTTTTGTTGTGACAATATATTATTTTTTACGCTGGCGAAAACACAAAAATTAAGAAAGAATAACAATTTGGTCGAAGTGTTTTGTCATAATTAGTAGTAGTATAGTTTGTGTAATTCGTATCTTGACAACATGTATCTTGTTGACAACCCATGGTGATAGCAAATATCAAACTGTAATTTATGAAAACAGCTTTGAAAATTTTGAATTGACTCGGCTGTTACTTGATGGAAATCCATGCCCAATGTAAAAACTTCACAAACGATAAGATTTCCACAAAATTCAACACTACATGTTTTGCTAACACAGTATAGCTTCGTCAGGTGATATACTGGTACAATGAACTAAACTAACGTTGGCTTGCTTAGTTTTGTATATCCTATTTTCCCAACCTGAAGGATTAGTTACCTGTGGCCAGGTACGATAAACCTCCATTTTCGGAAATCAGGCACAATATCTACATTAAAATACGGTGTACCAGATTAACTAAGTTGATAGCAAATACATATTATTACTTACTAAGAAAACGAATTCAACAGTGGTGAACTATTGAGGTCTAATTGATCTTAAGTAAAATGTCAGAATTTTTGAGTTTGTTGATTTCTAATGATTTAAAATTATTGAGTTTCATTCCTTCATTTCCTACGTGTAGATGATGATAATTTTGAAATTCATCTGATCAATAACATAAAAGATAACACAAGACATGCTGATCATTCAGGGGCAAACAAGCTTGAATCGAAATCAATAGGCATTCAACTTTCGACATCTGGGGAGTTGGTTCCCAACTTTGAAGTAGCGATAAACAAATTCAGGGCAGAATCAATTGTATCAGTATCCGTTTATACGAGTCGATGCATATATTTCGGGAGGATGTAATTCAATTTTCTTCGTGGCATTAGCCAGGAAAGTAGTTGTTTTTCTCCCGAAATCTACAATTGTTGTTTATTTTCAGGAGTACAACCAGTTCCTAAAGAGGCAAAAATACCCTACCTAGCAACTACAGACCGATCGCACTGCTATCTATTATTTCAAAGATCATGGAGAAAGCTATCAACATCGAGCTCATGAAATTCCTGGAACATTCAGGTATTATCAACGATACGCAATATGGCTTCCGTCATCAGAGATCAACTAGTGACCTGCTCGCTTACGTCTCACATATATGGCAGCAATCTATTGAAAAATATGATGAAACCTTAGCCGTGGCACTTGATATCGCCAAGGCATTCGATCTAGTCTGGAACCACGGACTCCTTGCCAAGCTTCCATCTTATGCCTTGCCTCCCCAGCTATGTTCTGTGTTAGCTAGTTTTCTCTCAAACAGGTCTCTCCATGTAGTGGTCGACGGAGTTTCATCTGACTCTCTCATTATGATTGCTGGTGTTCCGCAAGGATCAATTCTAGCACCAACACTACTTCTACTCCTATCGGCGATTTGTTGGAAGCAGCTTCATGTCCAGTACACAGCTTCGCAGATGATAGTACCCTCCATACCTCCTTCTCTTCCAGGGCTCCAATACCAGCCAGGTAAATCAGAAACGAACGAGGGAGAAATGTTGACAACATAAATATGGACTTGGCAACAAGAGGATCCAATAACTAAATTTCAATGCGAACAAAACACAAGCATGCCTTTTCTTTGCTTGGTATTTCTATAAGCAATAACGTTTCTTGGGAAAATCACGTGAGATCAATTGCTAACAGTGCATCTCAAAAACTTAGTTTTCTGTTCCGGGCCAGGAGCCATTTCACTTCCAGTCAGCTGGTTATGATCTATAAGGCACAGATCCGATCTGTCCTGGAATACTGTTTCCATATTTGGAGTGCAGCACCCAAACATACCCTGAAACTGTTGGATTCTGTCCAAAAAGGGCAATTCGTCTCGTGAGTGATGCCTCGCTCACAAACTCACTCACTTCTCTGGAACACCGTAGAAAAGTTGGAGATCTGGCTCTATTTTATAGATATTTTCATGGAAGATGCCCTTCTGAAATATCAACAATTGGTCCTCCCTTGGCAGTCCCCGCGAGATTAACCCGTCGAGTTGAGGCTTCGCACTCCTTCGTGGTCACTTCGAAGATATCCAGAACATCTCTTTCCAAAGACTCGTTCATCCAACGAACAGCCAGGCTCTGGAACACATTGCCAAGGAAGGTGTTCCCCGAGGCATGTAACCCCCAGAAATTTAAGAAGAACACCAATTCCTACCTGACTACTGGGAAAGCAGGACCGATATAACAATCAGAACCTATCACTTTCATTATTCTAGGCACGCGATTATCATCATGCGTCGTTCCTCCATTTTTTCATCGCCAGCCAAATCTCGAAGATCCTCCACGCCAAGAAGTCTACGGCATCCTGTTGGCTGTTAGCCTGAGGCGTCAGCCTACATAGCCTTGCGTTTGTGTTTACCGCAGTTCCGTACGAGTACGGTAAGTAATTCAGTCGGCTGTACCGCTAACTACTGACCCACACTCTCGTCTTGTCTTAGATGTTTGTTTACACACATCGAATATGCAGACAGACGGAAGGACTGCCGTTCAGTCCTTTTGTTTTTCTTTTATGTTCTGGTTCCCACGAAAAGGGTTATCCTGTAATGTTCAGAAAACATCGTGAGAACCAAGGAAAATGAGGTAGGAATTGGTGTTCTTCTTGAATTTCTGGAGGTTATATGCCTCGGAGAACACCTCCCCTGGCAATGTGTTCCAGAGCCTTGCTGTTTCTTGGATGAACGAGTCATTGGAAAAAGATGTTCTGCAGGTCTCCAAAGTGACCACGAAAGGGTGCGAAGCCTCAACTCGACGGGTTAATCTCGCGGGGACTGCCAAGGGAGGAACAATTGTTGATATTTCAGAAGAGCATTATCCATGAAAATATCTATAAAATAGAGCCAGGTCGCCAACTTGTCTACGGTGTTCCAGAGAAATGAGTGAGTTTGTGAGCGAGGCATCACCGACGAGACGAATTGCCCTTTTTTGGACTGGAAGTAAAATAGCTCCTGGCCCGAGACAAAACCAAGTTTTTGGGATGCACTTTTAGCAATTCATATCACGTGATTTTCCCAGAAAAAGTTATTGCTGATAGTAATACCAAGCATCGAAATGGATGTCTTCAAAGGTATGGTTACTCCTGACAAGCTCATGCTGGGCACAGTGAGATCAAAAAAATCGAAAAGAAGCTTTGTGGAGAAAAAAAACTATGGGGATAACACGAGCCTGCACGAGCTCTTCCGATTTTTATTTATGCATTCTTATTCACGTAACACAGATGTTTTGATGATTACCTATATCGAAATTTAAATCCCTTCAATTTTGAGAAACAAATTATGTTGCTTCATCAGTCATCATCAATGAAATGAGTTGAATCGGTTGAGATTATTTCACTCATTATTTCATGAATAAAGCAATAATTTATTGTCGTATTTTCATCTGCAGTTGTTGCGTTATGCAACTAACGATACATAAAGGAATTTATATTGCCGAATTGACGTGTCATCGACTGTCATGTGATCGACTGTCATGTGATCGTTAGATGTTATGTTTCGGCTAGGAGGTTAGGGGTTGATATCAAAAGTGTTTCTTTGAAATACCGATCATACAAAATTAGTCTGATAACTTCTTCGAGAAAAATTATTAGTGAATGCCTATCACGATTTCAGTTGAAGTTGTTGAGTGTTGTTGTAACTCATTCGTAAACATAAAAATAGTATGACATTCGTGACAGTTTGCTGTCATTCTGTTTAATTCTTGATTGAACTACCGATGAGGAAGCGGTATACAAAAACGAAAACACTGCTTCTATATCTAGTATCCAATCAACAGCCGATACTTATTCACCTAACAAGTGCGGAAAGTAGTATTTTTCCGCACCCGACGGCAGTTGCACGATCGATGCGGAGCAGAGTTCGAAGTCGTCAAGGGCGGAAAAGACATTTTCCGCAAGAGTTAGGTACAAAGTTTTTCCTACGAGTGTTTTTGTCCATATTATTTATAGAAAAAAAAGGTTCTCAATAAACAATATTTTATAATGATGCTACAAAATGACACATAAGACAGAATAGTTACATGGATCATTTAGTTAGTCCTATATATCCTTATTTTCAACAATACAAAAATTATGCGGAAATGTAACTATTTAGCACTAGTGCGGTAAAGTAACTTTTCCGCACGATATTTTCATGCACTGAAAATTTATAAAATATTTTTTTTTTCATCGATATAATAGGAAACTTATTTGGAGAACATTCAAATAACAATAACTAAAACATTAACGATGGTGAAAAATTTTAATTGAAAGTGCAATTTGTGTT